TGCTTTAGTTCTTCACAGTTAATTTCCAGCCCTTTAGCAGCCTCAAGCAAATCCAGCCAATTTTCCCACAGCACTGTTACAATCCTGCCCAGTGCCCTGTCACTTCTGCATAATCTCATCAGCTCTCCAGAGATCTTCCTCAGCTTCACAAGATCATCTTCAGCCGAGTCAATGTTGGAGACTAAAATCTTATAGGAAAAATAAACAAGTAAATAAACAAAACAATACAGTCAGAAGCGCTAACGAAGCATTCAGTAACATGATTTAGAGGATCTTCTAACAAAATGGCAATCACTCCGCTGAGTTGGTTAAATACGGTTGTAATTATAGAATTCTGTTGGCTAAGACTGCAGAGAAAGATGGGGTAAATAAAACAAATAAATAAAACAAGCAAAACAAACAGAAGAACAGGGTGCCCAGGCAATTAGATTGTTCTTACTTCTTTCTGGTTATTTGGAAGAGAAGAAAAATGAGAAGGAGTTACAGATATATAAAATGACATGCCTGTAATATGATGAGTACTAAAAGAAAATACAGCAAAGAGGTTGTTTATAGCAGAGGTCTGGTGGGGAGGCAGCAAGAGAGTCCTGGGTGAGGAAACTGGAAATTCTCTGATTTTCACTTCCGAGGCAAAACAACAACAATGTTAGAAATCTGATCAGTCCTGGTCCTGCAAGGCAGCAATGAGGGATCTGAACAGAAATGCAATAGTATTTTAAGCACACATTATGTTTGATTTCTACAGCAATAAGATGTACTCATTTTACAGGGCCTATTATAATCTGGTCTTTTTATAGGTATATAAATACATTCTGTGGTTTTATACATACATAAATAGAATTTAACTTCTTTCTACTACGGTATCATACAGCGTGCATAGCTGCACCACAGTTTTGCATGAGATTGTCAAGTTCTTCTGAGCCTCTTACCTTGCTTTCTTCTAAGTGCTCCAAAGCTTCTTTATAAGACATTGGTATTTGAGACAAAGACTGTCTAAGCACCTTTTCCAGTTTGTTAAGATTATCACACACCTGATCTTTGGTTTTCATGTAGTTTTCGTATTTTTCAAAATACCTGTAGGAAACAATTAATAGACCAATTAAAATTTGTTGTGGTTGCTCCTCTCTCCAACCATAATGCCCACTAGAATAAAATAAAAAAAATTTCTTCTGAACTAGTAGTCCTCACTATTTTGCAAGTTATCTTCAGTTAGCATTTGTTAAACACTTCAGGTCCAATATCTGAGAGACTTTAGAGATGCAGGTACAAATGCCCCAGAAGTAAAGAAATATAGGTATGTATATCCACATATGAGCCATGGAACTGCTCCAAAGAATTGTATGTTTTGATCTAAGTCTCTATCTTCCTCAGACATTCCCAAAAATTAGTTCCCAATTTGTAACACACATTCTATTCATCCCTACAATGTGTGGTCTGTACAATTCCAATTTCTTATTTCTGTCTTACTGTCTCTTCCCTATTATCAAAGCCTTTAAAGTCATCCTATTCTTTGATTATCAAACCAGATTTTAAGGTTATGCTCGATAGAACCAGAAGCACTGGATCATGAGCAAGTGATCTAAAAATCCCTTTCTCTCTCTCCCAAACTTTTTCTGTATATGTATCTGAAGGCCCTTCAGATCTCTTCCATACCTATATTTAAAGGAAGGAAACTATGGCCTGCGTCTTTGCTCTTTGCTTTCTCTAGCCATCAGAATAGACTACGGAAGACGTGTGTCAGGGTCGCTCTGAAAACTATTCTAAACTGCAGCAGCGCTGAACTACAGACTGTGGAAATGTGCTTTCTTCTGATTCTGGCACACTATGACCCTCAGCTGAGCCCCATACATACTTTTTGGAATATAACAAAAATCATTGCATTGTAAATTAGTAGCAATATGCTTATTGTCTGGTAATGTTCCTTCCATCACAATCACATCTGGGAACAGTAGAAATGCCTACAGTTCCTTCTGCTGAATTATCTGGTTCTATCAGAGCAGAAACAACACTGCATTTATTATCAGTCAAATTTCTCATAATAAGGAGCATGATCTAGGAAGATACCTTAAACCTACCTCTGTTTATCAGCTTCCTTTCTTTGAGCCTTCTCCCTTAATGCCAAACTCTTATTGACTAGTTCTGTTAAAGCATTTTCCAGACATGTTTTGTCTTCTGGTTTCACTAGGTTTTTCAGCTTGGAGCACAGGTTTTCTATGTTAGCCTTTGCCGAGTTGAACTCCTCTTGTTTCCACTGTGGGGTCTGACAGACCTCTGAGCCACCGAGCTCTGCTGCGGCAGACTGGACTTGAGCTTCATAGTCCTCAAGGAACCTGGCAGCCGTCTGAACAGCGTTGGTGTAAAGCTCAACAGTCTTACATGCCTCCTCCAGAGCACTCTGAAAATGTTAAAAAGCAAGGAAAAATCAAGAAAGACTGCTGTGCTCCTCTGGATCACCCAATGGTCTTCTCAGAATTTCATACCTGGCTGTCTTTGAGAGCAATGCTCCTAGAATTGCCCTGAAGAGGTGAGGGAGGACACATGGCAAATGCACTTTGCTGCCTAGGTAGTCACAGAGCAGTGCTGTAACCCATGGATTGATTGCCCTCAACCATAGGAACAGGGGTTATGAGGGTACTGCTAACACTGGAAAAGTACAGAGATCAGGATGGCAGGACACAAGAGCCATAACATGCCTTATAGACATGGCAGTATATGTCCTGTTCAGACAAGAAAAGCTCACATGTTGATGATGTATTCTGCTTCAGGGATTACTTCCACTATGCCTTGCCAAACCACTTCCCGCAAAACCTTCTTCTGGTATGTATTTATACACTGAATGATGCTTGACTTTGCCAGCTCTTGGATTCCCCCAGGGCAGAGAAACTTTGGCATTGTGCTTCCCACACAATACCCAAGCAGTGAAGATGAAGCACAGCAAACCAGGAACTCTGGTAGCAGGACCATAAAAGTCCATCAGGGATGCTGAGCCTATTAGCTACTACCTCCTATTTCCTCATTTGTATCCCTTGATCTCTTGGGCAGTCAGGGCACAGGACTTCTTGACCAGCACACAGCTCCAGAACTTCTCTGCTATGAAGGTTACCACTCTTCTGGTTTCCAACACAAATTTATTCACTAACTTTTTTTATTAATATTTGTTACATTATTCCTTCTATTAACACTGCCCTTTAGCTTAAGCAGTCCTTTTCCATCCATTAAGTCTACCTCCAGCCTAATTACATTTCTCAGCCAGATTTCCCGCTTGCCCTCAGCTTACCAAGTTGAGCAAATTCTGTTTTATTAACTGCCTTCAACATTCCTCATCCCTCTAACACATCTGTTTCAGTTTGAGTGGACCTTTCCTGACAAAGGCATCAAAAATCAGGTCAATTCTCCAGCAAAGCCTTAGCAATGCCTTACATACTTGTGTTAAAGCATTGGATCTTGGTTGCCTTTCCTTTGCTCACCCTTCCTGAGGCCTGATCACATTGGTTTGATCTGTGCTTTACTGCCCTTGATCATTCCCAACTAGTAAGCCTTTTCTCTATAGTTGAAACAAGGAACTTCCGTTTTTTTCATCATTGTCACAACTGCTCTAGGACAATTGCACCAAGCCTCTCTTCAGCTCAATACTTCATCACAAACTTTTCTTTCCTCCCCTTTACCTTTCTTTTATTGTTTTAATCCCCAGTCCTTGATTATATCAAGCTTGATATAATCCTTACTGCTTGATTATAATAAAATTGAAAATGACTAATTTCTTTGTATTCTTAGGTTCTTATCATGATTGCCATCATATCCACCAATGCAGAGATGATGATGGGCCAATTCAATTATTACAATAAAAGGAGGATGTAAGTCATGAAAATATAAATGCCACAGTCACAGACAACTAATCTAATTATTGGGAAAAGACATATGGCCATGCCTTACTTTTATTAAATATACTTACAACACGGGCAGCAATGTCTATCTTCAGCTGTATTTCATGATCTTGAAGTGTCTGTAATTTTGTTTCTATATCAGCAGCAAGAGATTTTTCTTCTTGGTTTTCCCTCTCTTTTTCCATTTTACATTTAATAGCAGAAAACTTTGCTTGCATCATATTCTGAATTGCTTCCCATCGTATCTTTTCATACTGCATTATTTTTATGTCTAACAGAAGCGGCTGCTGGAGCTCTAATTGAATATGCTTTATGATGTGGAATGTATGTTCTACTTCCTTCTGGAAATCTTCCTTGTTTACACACTCGAGATCAGAGACCAAGTTTTGAAGAAACTGATTCAATTCCTCAACATCTTTCTCCAAGCTCTTTATTTCTTTCCTCTTAGAGTCTTTGAACAGTGTACCAAAGACCTCATTTTTGTTTATTTGATTTGCTACCTCCTGGATTAAGTGCAAGATTTGTTGAACTGTCTGAAACAGAATCTGTGCAGATAGAAGACTCTGAGAAGGAGAACTAGAGCTATCATTTAGGAAGTTAGCTTCTTTTCTTACTGTGGAAGTCACAGCCTGGATTTCATTTAGCAATGCTAGAACCTTATCGCATTCCCTAACAACATTATCAAAGCGTATTATCTTCCCTTTAATTTTATTTTTAATTTTAAAGAAATTGGTTTGCAATTCATCCAGCTGCAGTGAGTCCCACTTTAGACCTACACATTCAAAGATTTCTTTGTATTTCATTATTTGTGACAAATTGGACTGAAAAGCTAACACTTTTTCTTTAAGTGCTTTGCATTTATCCTTCACTTCCTGCTTGGCACCTAATAATTCATCGTCTTCCAGATGCATTTCACTATACTGTAGATCATGAAGATCTTGCTGCAATGAAGTTATTCCTCCAGCAAACTCTCTGCAGACAGCTATCTTTTTTTCTACTTCATGAAGTTTACTCTGAATTTGCCTCTGTGTCTTCCTTGCTCTGTTCTTCAGACTTCTTAATTGATCAGTCAAAAACAGTTGTTCAGACAGGCTGAGTTCCCCAGCTGTGATCTGACTCTCTTTACAGTGGGATGAGATAAGCCCTTCTATTTCCTGTACGTCCTTTAAAATCTCCTTTAAAATGGCTTGTTGATTGATTAATTCTGCCCATGTGCTGGTTTGGTTCATGTCGGGCCTGGCAAGCATCTCAGCATTTCGAAGCTGACAGTGAACTTTCTCTATTTCTGCAATAAGTCTTTGCCTCTCCTCCAGCTGGAGCTCTAGCTGCTGTAATCTTTGAGCTGATTTTAAAACAAGAGCCTTGTATGAATTCTGCAATGTTTGTAAAAGGAAGGTCATATCAGAGATCTCCTCTGGCTTCAAGTTGGAAATGATGTGCTGGAGCCCATAATCCAGTGACACAATCACAGGCTCTCTGCTTAGAATGTCTGTGTTCATAAGCTGACAACTTCTGATCTGTGATTTAACATCACTGGGGAAAAGTGCTGCTTTCTGATCAAGAGAGGACAGTGAATCGTTGACCCATGAAATATTTTCTTTCAGCCTCTTCACCATTTCGTGTTTCATGAGAGCAGGACCAGTGATCTGAACATCCTCTCGAGGAGTTTGCTGTGCTGATAACGCTTCCAATTTGCTCTGCAAATCATGTATAGAGTTCTCCAAAGCTACCTTCTCTTGATCACTCCAAATTCTTTTCATCTGCAGTTCAATCCTTCTTTTTAATAGAGAAAGACCATGTTTAATGTCCTGTAGCTCTGTGGTCCAAAGTACAGGGTATTTGGCTTCTCCTGCAGCTGAGGAATATAACTCTGCTTGTAAACACTGTTCTTCTATCAGTCTCTGAATGTCCTGTGCTTTATTCATAAGCAGGTTAAATTCATCGATTTCTGCCACCACTTGATCGTATTTCTTTTGCACTGTTTGTTCCATGTGTTGCCACCATTGCTCCAGTTGCCTCATTTGGCTTTCAGTTAACACTTTATCCATGCATGTTAAATGCTCAGATAAACTTTCTTGCTGAGTTTTCAACTGGTTTAAGACATCTTTTTCTTTTTGTAAGGACTCTATGCATGCCTTAATTTTCTCCAGAAGAACTGTGTTGTTCATAGGACCCCTGCCAAAAATATGAGTAGCATTAAAAAAAAATTCCTCCCAAAACATAAACTAGATATGTTTTTTTTAAAAAAAGAATTTCACTGTTTAGAAAATGATTCACTCACTTTATTCACTTAATCACATGTATCTCAATGTTTTCTCACAAATTTCCTAACCACTGTTGCAGTACCATTATTTTTTGCTTCTCTGTACAGCATTAGTTATTTCTAGGTATCACTGCAGTAAAGGTATATTCTAATGTATAGTCTCTAAAATTCCAGTATATACTAGTATAGAATGTGTAACTTCCTACAGGAATATAGCCTCATTTTAAAGTTACAATAAATAAAATTTTAAAAATTGAGTGTTAAGTCATCTCTAAGTAGATTAACAACATTTTATGGTAATACCTGATCTATAAGGAAGATAGAACTTAGTTATACTAAGGAAAGCTTCAAAAATTCCCATTCATTCAACATTAATCTGGAGGAGTTTATCTATTCATCTTTTATTTCCAGGGGTATTTTGAAATTCCCACCTAAAATACATTTAGCAGTTAGTTTTTTGTTCAATTTTTTTCCATCTCTTCGCAGTCAATTAACAATTTTATGAATTATTTTAAAGATATTCAAATTATTGTGATACATTATTGCGACTGATAGGCTTAGTTCCATGTTCTGAAGGCTAATTCATAAAAGATACTAAATATTTTGTGTACATTGGCTACTCTGAATTGGTACCGTAGACTTATTTATTGCCACAGAATTCTTCCTGTCAAATAAGGTGAATTTTCAGAGTAATGAGATATTTCACTCAGACAAAGATAAGAACTGATGAGTCCTTCAAGAAAAATTAATATTTCAAATATGCCATATTTTTTCAAAAATATTTTAATATGGCTTTTATGCAGGTTTTTAGCACAGCAACCATTTCTTTGCCTACAAAATAAAAAGAGTAGGTGTTGCTTAAGGGATAGCAGAGCACCACCAGCAATGCTTCTGTTTAAGGCTGTTTAAACTTATAAACCCATTTGTTTGTAAGACTTTTCTTGCTACCTAATGGTAACGAGATGGATAAAACACCATATTCTTGTCTGAGCATTATCGAAGTATGGTACGAAATTCAGTCTAGGACCATATTTGCTCTGCAACCCATTAACAGGAACCCTCAACTATACTTACATTCTTATATTATCTTTTTCTGTTGACAAATTTTTCATTGAGGACTGCACAGCAGAAAGATTTTTCTGGTACTCATTAATTAAACAGTACTGTTGTTGCTTCACTGCCTTAACAGCATCTAGTTCTTGAAGCAGCCTGTCCCAGCAGGGCACTGCAGGCTCTGTGGTGTGCAGCTCTGCTCTGTTTGATCCTGTTGCTTTGGGAAACGCTTCTTGACTACGGCACAAAGATTTTGCTTTCCATGTTTCCAGTTCAGTTTGTAAATTCTACAATCAAGCCCACCACAGAGAGAGGATTAAAAGAAGATCTTAAACACTTTCAGCACAAAATACAGATAAATACTGATACATCTACAGACATACACTTGCCCATTCACATGCAGATGACCACGCATGCCTGTGCACATCATGGAAGCACACGTGCAATCGTAGGTGTATCTACTACTGCACTCTAGAAGAGCAGTACAAAATCTGGTATTTACGCGGACATACTTGCATTAATGCACAGTGTTTGTAGATTACCTGGTAGACAAACCGCCTAATCATGCAGTCAAACTTCAGATAAGACTATACGCAACAATTTTGTTTTGCCCAAGTATTTCATAATTCCGTAACTGTAACACTACATTAACAATGAGGAATGGCTTTGCAATTTCCATACCGCCAGCTCTTTCAGTTGTTCATTTATAAGCACAATATCCAGTTCAGCCACTTCATTTTTCAGCTCATTGACCTTTTGTTCCTCTTCAAAATATGCTGTGTTTACTTGCACTCCAGGAAATAGTTCCTTCTGGACAACCACTTCTGCACCTGTGTCCTACAACACAAAACAGGATTCTTATTTCTGAAGGTCCTAAATCAAGAAGTTTTCTGACTGCAACACTTTGATTCACATGTTTAAGCCACGCCTAAATCCTGCTGTGGTTTCTTCCACAGCCTCTGCGGGTCAACCAGGACCCAGAGGCTGGAACCTTTACAACCACCCCCCACCTCTGCAGTCACCCTAGCTTGCCAGCACTGCTCAGATAGCTATGAAATCTCCACCCATCATTTTCCATTTGAAACTCTGATATCCCCACCTTCAAATAACACCCTCCCTGCACCCACCTCTGCTACTGATAAATTCAAAGGTCTATCCTGTCTTCTCCCCCTACTCCTTACACATTCATGGATGTTTAACCTCTCCTCACCCACATTCCTTCTGCTCAGTGCCTGCCTTGATATAGTGCTGTGTGCTTCACCAGGACCATGTCTTGCAACTGTTCTTCATAGGGTGACTCATGCATGAAGCAGCTTGGCTGTGACACAAAGCCAAGGCTACTACTGCCACAAGTGCTATCCAAAATCAGGGGTAAGATGAGAGCGTTAGGGACCCATGCCTCAATTGGAAGGGAATGGGAGGCCCCAGACCCAGTCCCTGGCACTGCCATTGATTCCCATGACAGAAGGACAAGCCACTTGGAGTGTGATCAGGTTCAACAGCCCATCAGCTGAGCTCAGGTCATTGCCCACGTAGATACTCTTAGCCAGCCCCAGTTGAGATGTAAAACATAATCCTGTAAATCACCTTCAGCTATTGCAGACAACAACATAAATGAAATGCCACAGGCTTATTGGGTCACATGGTGATACCTTAAAAAATCTTTCTGCATTTCTCTTCCCCCAGTACCTGTCTGTATCTGGTGTAAACTGTGATCTGTTCCACGTATAGACTACATGTAAGTGAATGCACACAAATATACAAATATGACTACAGTGCGAGCTTCCCCATGGTACCAACCTACAAAACGAGCAACAATAAAAAAATCTTGTTTGATAAACTTACTGTATTGCTACTTTAAATACTATTTTGCTAGGAAGCAGCCAGCTAGCCCTGCAGCCATATCACTTGTAAGCTGTCACTGTTGTCTGTCTGTCTGCGGGTCATGAGCTATTCAATATATACCTGCTTCCAAGTGTGGGAAACATGTAGCACATTGTAAACACTATCGGAAAAGAATCGTTCTATTTATTTGAACTCTTTTGGTTATTTTCAGTCAAAACTGAAGGGGACCACTCATGAAATAGTCAATCAGAGAACTTTTCCATTTCTCTGTGTACACATCCATAACAGTTGCATCAATTCAGACAGAAGATTTCATCTTAAGAGACTTTGGAGTGCCATAGAACTGAAGTAAGCAGAAAAGCTCAGCTAAGCTATCACAAAGTGAGGAGGAAATCCACTTTACCAGATTGAAATATAAACACATCAAAACACGCAGAGAAATAAGCGTCCTGACACTAAGAAAAACCTCTGGATTGCTGTTTACATGTTTTGCTTCTTTGTATGACATTCTCAACACACACCGTGGCACTCCCTCCCCAGATACACAGACACTTAGATAGTGTCAATCTCCCCGCACAATAGTTTTAGTGTTTCCCATAGTTTTTCAGTCCATCAGATAGTTGGAGAGGGAGAAAAATACGAGAAGTGAAGAGAAGGGGGATTGCTAACCAGTTACTGTCCTTCAGGTAGAAAGCCAGGGCTCCCTGGCTGACTCTTCACAGTGCAGGCCAGTGGGAAACCGCCAACCATCACTCTGGCTTCAGGCTAGGGTATAGCCCACAGTTTACATCCTTTCTTACCCAACACCTTCCTCAGGAAATCAGCAGAACCTAATTCCCTTTCCCTGTACAAGCTTCAAATTGACTGAATACAAACACTTAAAGATCACATTTAGATGTGAAAATCTGTCACTTCAGAGTAGAATAGAATAGAACAGAGTATTTTCAGGTGGAAGGGACCTACAACAATCACCTAGTCCAACTGCTTGACCAATTCAGGAGGGCTGACCAAAAGTTAAAGCATGGGCAAAATGCCTCTTAAACACTGCCAGGCTTGGGTCATTGACCACCTCTCTAGGAAGCCTGTTCCAGTGTTTGACCATCCTCTCAGTAAAGAAATGCTTCCTAATGTCCAGTCTAAACCTGCCCTGGCACAGCTTTGAACCTTTCCCACACATCCTATCACTGGATACCAGGGAGAAGAGATCAGCACCTCCCTCTCCACATGCCCTCCTCTGTAAGCTGCAGAGAGCAATGAGGTTGCTCCTCAGCCTCCTTTCCTCCAAACTAGACAAGCCCAAATTCCTTAGCCGCTCCTCATAGGACATGCCTTCCCGCCCTTTCAGCAGCTTTTCTGCCCTCCTCTGGCCACCTTCAAGGACCTTCACATCCTTAAAACTGTGTGGCCCAGAACTGCACACAGTATTCAAGGCGAGGTCACATTAACATTAAATACAGTGGGGTAATCACCTCTTTTGACTGACTCTGTTTAACGCACCCCAGGATGCAGTTTGCCCTCTTAGCTGCCAGGGCACACTGCCGACTCCTATTGAGCCTGCTGTCAACCAGCATTCCCAGATCCCTTTCTGCAGGGTTGCTCTCCAGCCACTCCTCTCCCAATTTATACATGTGCCTGGCATTACTCCATCCCAGGTGCAGCATCTGGCATTTGGACTTGTTAAATTTCATCCTGTTAATCATTGCTCAATGCTTCAATCTAACTAGATCACTCTGCAAGGCATCTTGTCCCTCAAGAGGGTTAACAGCATCTCCCACTTCGGTATCATCAGCAAACTTGCTAATGGTGCACTCAACTCCTGCATCTAGATCATTGACAAGTATATTGAACAGAACTGGCCCTAGAATTGAACGCTGAGGAACCCCACTGGTGACTGGTCACCAGCCAGATGTAGTCCCATTCACTACAACCCTTTCAGCTCTGCCCTTCAGCCAGTTCTTCACCCAGCGCACTGTGAACCTACTCATCCGACAGTTGGACAGCTTGTCCAGAAGGATGCTGTGAGGGACATATCAAAAGCCTTACTAAAATCCAGAAAAACTACATCCACCACCTTCCCTTCATCCTCTGGGCAGATGACCTTATCCCAGAAGGATATCAAATCAGTTAAACGGGACTTTCCCTTTGTGAACCCGTGTTGACTG